CGGGACCGCCGGTGACCTTGGGGCAGCCGCTCGATAGATAGGCGTGGGGGAGTGAGAGAGCTGCGCGTGGCCCATGTGACATGCTGCGGGCGACAGGGTTAACTGCATGCTGACGCCAAGGGATGAAGTTGGGCACAGAGCGCAACTGGCCTTGCATTTTCGGGGGGGGGGGGGGGCTGCCTGCTAGCAAAGCAACGGATGCCCAGAGGGACTGTCTGGGGGACCTGGGTGGTGCCCAGACTGCCAGAGGTAGGGGCAAGTCAGGGCAGAGTGACCTTGGGCAGGTTAACCATTCTGCTTCTCCGTCCCTTCTCTTTTTTCTCATCTTCGAAGGAGGGGCTTGGGTTCTTTGTAGTTCCACAGTGCTGTTGTGCCATTGAACTGTGGGCTGAGAAAGAGCCCCAAATCACCGTTCTGTAGGTACTGGATGTACAAGGCATATCCATGTTCATTCTACGAGGAGTTTCCATTCCTTGGCTCCCAAAGTGGCAAGAAATGTTATCGTTGTATGGAAGATTATGGAGAGAGCAGTCGGTGGTCCAGAGAGTGGCCTCTTAAGAAGCACAGGTTAAAATTCCTTAGTGTCCTGAAGACTATGAACAAGGTCAGGGTTAATACTCTTGAGTTATTTCCTGTAGGTAATCTAACAGGAAACTTTTGTATTTGAACAGGTAAAATCAAAACCCAATAGTGGCAGGCAGCAGCAAATTAAGTGAGTCATTTCTTCAACGTGCACGAGGTTGTGTGTGTGTGCGTGTGTGTGTGCGTGTGTGTATGTGTGTACGTGCGCGCGCGCGCGTGCGCTCTCGCCCTTGGCTTAAAGTCTGTGTACGCCAGTGTTAGAAATTATTTCATAGGAGTAACCAGAAATAATGCTAGAATGATTGGAATCTACAAAAGTGCAGCGCTCTCAGAAACAGGGGCAAACATTTGCAGCTTGCTCTTAAAATAAGAGGTTTGTGAGAGTAAATGCATTCTTTATTAAGAACCCTCCCTAGGATTTGCACATTGTATGTGTCTTCTGAGTCCTGTCACAGAATGTGTGTGTGTGTAGGGGGTTGCTCCTGAGCTCTCATAGACTGTGGCACTTCTATTTTTAACATTGGCTGATACTAAAAAAGACACTCAGGCCCCCTTCCATATTCTCTGTCTATAAGTTCCCTTCTTCCACGGGAAGAGAGGAGATAAGTGCCCTCTCACAGGTATCTTGGGTTGCCCCTTCTATCTTTAGCTTCAGGGCTACCTTTGTTGTTCATTTGAATCTGATTTCATCTGTCAAATATGTGGATTGGGAAACCAAAGTTTCCAGTATTAATGAATAAGCTTCTGCAAGCTTGTTTGCCTGAGGGTTTAATAATCTTTAATCGGTTACATGTTAGAAATCTGCTAGAAAAATCCTTACTGCCCAGGGATTCAACCACTAACCCCTATAGATCCTTTAATGAATCACACCTCATTGTGCTTGGAACCTTAATTAGCAAATTATTCATCTTCCTCTCTCTGCTGGCCACTAACTTGTGTGACTCCAACCTACCTTTCAACGTCTTGTTTCTTGCATCCTGAGCCACACTCCTGCATTTTCATTTTTCTGTCGCTGAGCCCACCTTCTCTCTCTCCCCTGGCATCTGAGCTTGAATGGACGACTTCCTTCTGAACAATCCTCTCTGCTGTGCTCTTCCGTCTCACCAGAGCAGCGATGCTCTTCTGCTTGCTTCTTAGTGCCGCCTCCAAACCATGAACCTATCACCAAGTCTCTTAGACTTAGACTAGGTAGTGCTGTCTGCTTGTGCCCCAGACCCTCCTTCTCTCTTCTGGCACAGTGTTTCCCAAGCTTGGGTGGCTCCTCAGAATCACCTGCAACATTTTTAAAAACGTACATCTTTAGGCTCAAATATACTAAATTAGAATCTTAGAAGGGAAAGGGGTGAGAACTAAAAATTCTTATTTTAGAAACCTGGCTGGGCATGGTGGCTCATGTCTATAATTCCAGCATTTTGGAAGGCCGAGGTGGGAGAATTGCTTGAGCTTAGGAGTTTGAGACAACCTGGGAAATATAATGAGGTCTCATCTCTACAAAAAGTAAAAAAAAAATTAGCCAGACTTGGTGGTGTGCACCTGTAGTCCCAGCTGAGGGAGGCTGAGGCCAGAGGATTACTTGAGCCCAGGAGTAGTTTGAGGATATGGTAAACCGTGATCATGTCATTGCACTCTAGCCTGGGCCACAGAGTGAGACTCGAACTCAACATAAATAAATAAATAAAAACCCCCAAAGAAGGAGGAGCAGTGGGGGAGGGAGGATGAGGAGAGAAAACTCTCTGGATAATTCTGATGTACACCTAGGTTCACTGGGAGTCACTTCACTTGATATTACAAAAAAGTGATTAAAAAATGAGTAACTAGCTTCATTCTCTTCTCTGCTTTGTTTCTTGTTGGTGACTTTGGGGCTTATGTTGGGGCTTTTTAAATTTACTGACATTGAAGTTCTTCAACATAAACTCCCCTAGCCTCAATTTCCACTTCAATTACTAACATCTTGAACTTGTTCAGTCCTGAAGAAGACCCAGCCTTTCAGATCTGTAACTTGGACTTCAGTCTACTCAACTGATTAGCAAATTATTCAGCTTCCTCTCTCTGCCAGCCACTAACTAGTGTGACTCCAACCTGCCTTTCAACGTCTCGTTTCTTGCATCCTGAGCCACACTCCTGCATTTTCATTTTTCTGTAGCTGAGCCCACTTTCTCTCCTATTGCTCTTGACTTTCACCATCACTGAGGACTGTGGTTTCTGAATCGTTTACTGCTTCAATCCTTCAGCCCCTTTGTGGCTCCATTTCTCCACTTGGAGTGTACAGGTTGCTGGAGTATCAGTTCTGTCTGGAATCCTGGAGTCCTTTGTTTAATGTGTTGGGCTTCTCATATTCCAGTCCTTAATCCCAAGTCACCCTCATTATCTGCTTATTCTTCTCCCAGTTCTGCCAAATTTTCCAGGACAGAGTCATAAAGATGTCTGGACTGGTTCCACTGCAAATTTATGCTGGCTCTAATTTCACAATATAAATTCCTACTTTGCCCCTCTCACGCCTCCCAGGCATCTTCCTCTTCCTCTCTTTGTCCTTTATTTTCTCTTTCTCAAAAAAAAAAGTCTATAAGTCTCTTCTCCAGGATTAACTCACATATACCCTACATATCATTCTCTGGACTTTATTTCTTCCTTCATGCCTCTTTTGAAAACTTGCTCCATTTGTTATTCCCTTTCTTCAGTTTCTTTGACCCCTTTTTATTCTCGCTCCACCATACATTCAGGTTATCCTTCTCATAAGAATGTGTGCTAGAGTACCAGCACTGTCCGATAGAACTTTCTGCAGTGAGGGGAATATTTTGTATCTGTGCTGTTCTATATGGTAGTCACCAGTCACATGTCACTTTTGAGCACACAAAATGTGGCTAGCATGACTGAGGAACTGAATTTTAAATTGTAGTTCATTTTAAATTAATTTCAATTCCAATTAAGTAGCCCCATGGGGCCAATGGCTACCGTATGAGGCAGAGCAGTTCTGGACTCTGTGACTCTGTTCAACTTTCCTCAGGTTTCTCTTCTCCGACTGTCTACTCACCTCTTCTGGCTTCACCCTCGTCTTTCTGTTGAAACTGCTTTCTCGGAGGGCTCTGGCACAGGTGTCCTGGTCAAAGATCTGAGGACTTTG